TTATTAAAATACATTTCCTGGTCAGACATTTGGTGCTAGTAAATATGTCTTTATTAACATAAATGACAGAATGGCTGATAATGGATTTAAAAAATGACCTTATGAGATATGACATCAACAGGTGCTATGGACTATAAGTGACAAAACACGAAGAATCGCAGAAGTAAGAGATTGACCCACAAATCAAATATATCAGTAATAAGATGGTTGAATAGCCTAAAACTATATTTTAGTAGCAATTAGCCCTATAATAATCGCCCTTTCCCTTATCATATACCATTACCTTGATCCTAGATAAAACCATTAAAGTTTACAGCATTACTATCAGATTAACAATTCTGAAAAAGTCAGTATTGACATTAAAATTAGAGGAACTCTACTAATGAAGTGGTAAAGTACAACGTATCCTTCGGGTATAAGTAATATGATTCATATTACGTTTTATGGGCTAATGCCTTTATTCCTGGTCACTTTAGTTAATAACAAATAATTATATTGTTTCTGGAAAGAAGGACAGGTATTAGTAGCAAATATACCGATAAGGATGGAACACTCTAGTGGCTCCGGCGTGGTTCTCCCTTGTCAGTGATGCAGGACGGAGGGGCTGACAAGGAAAGCTGTCTAGTCGTTCGGATGGGACGAAAAACCGAGGTCCCGTGTACACATTGGCGTGCACGTAAAAGATCCCTTGGCAGTTGGAATTCGATATAAGAGTAGGCCGTAGTGCCGCTGTCCGGGCAAAATTTCCCTCATAGCACACTGTATGGCGTATGCCCGTCTTCATTAGCCCAGGTTAGGAGCAGAACAGTAGGACGTTAAACTCCATTTCATTTCATTTCATTTCATTTCACACTCTAGTGGCGTATCTAGAGTTTGTACCGGCCGGAGCGGTCGTTGAGTTTGCACCCTCTAACCTTATGTATACGAAAAACACCGAAAAATGTTAAAGCGACGAAAGTAAAAACCTGTTTTCTTCTGAATGAAAACATTAACTACTACATTTTACAAAATTATTTTTCTTGCAAATTCAAGCGCTTAATTTGTCATCTTCAATGTCACACAATCCATACCATTGTCGACAATTTCCGACAGTAGACGGCGTTCTCTTGGGAAAATAAAAACGTGTCCGGTAAAAAAAAATCGTGTTTGGCGTCTTTATCTTTCTATTGCCCAGACAGAAAACAAAAATCACCTTTTTTCAATGCAGTCACCCTTTCAGTCTTCACCCAAATTTTAAAACTCGCCATCACACAGTCAAATACGGAAATTTATTTTATTATAACTGTAAAATATGAACAAACAAATTTATAATTTATTATGATATATACGTCGTTAATCTGAGAACGGAAGTCATTGGCACACTTTCTTATTTCATCGTCCAGTATTTCAATAAGAGAAAGAAGCGAGCTGGCATATATTCTGATGAGACGCAATAGAGAAAGCAAGTTTCCAGAACATGGAACAAGTGATTGTAATCAGTTGGTTATCTGACCCCATCTTGTATTTTCCTACTGAATTCTTCTTATCCCTTAGGGACAATGATATACAGGTTACAGGTGTCGCCCTCTGTCATCATCACATGGTTGCCACATTGCTAACCGCACCCAATAACCCCATCTTGTATTTATTTAATTTTGTTCCATGGACTACAGCAAATTAAAATTAATCGAATATAAAAAAATGAAGTTGAAGTCAATGGTTATAAGTTCGTGTATCCTGCTCTGTGTAATACCAGAACTTTCTTGTGGATCCACTGATTCAAAGTTTGAATGCAGTAACTTACGATTGTTTGTGGATCACATCAGCATCTCGGCCATCAGTAATATATATTTTAATAGCTTTGCATGTAATTACATGGGAAATAAAATCGAAGGAATAAAAAGATACATAAATATCAACACAACTCTCTTTACATTTACTTTCATAGATCATAATATCTTTGATGATCTTTGATAAATGAATATTGTTTTATTTGGTAAAGAGATAAAAACATATTTCCTACCTGTTCTTATGTCAATAAAGATACAAAGAGATACAACATCAAAGATGACATTTATTTATTAACATGCATACATGTTTCGACATTGGGCCTATGTGTATTTTAGCATGTACAAGTTTCGGGACCAATTGCAAATGATGTATCATTTAGTATAAAAACTAACACGTGGGTTTGAACAGGCGTTACCATGTGAGCCACAGGTTGCTCAGAAGGCGTTGTATGGTTCTCTTTAGTTTCAATGTCCTAGTTACGAGTGATGCTGGTACTACGCATTCATCACATAACTAGCTAAAACAAATGACGTTCGTCAAAACACAGTAATAAAGGTTAGCATATATGTGTATGAAGTCTAGACGTGGGTTGGGTTATGTACCTTCTGTCAAAGACATCAACATACCGAACATTTCTTGTACCATCTTCATTATTTTTAATACCATTGAATCATCCATCTTTTTATTGGTTTAACTATTCTATGCCACCATAGTCACTTTTAAAGGTACTATATATAATGGTATAACTATCACGTAATAGTTCCGGTTCGAATATCAGCTTTTCATTCATATTTATTGTCAAGAATATCAAACTCTAAACATATCATTAGCACGTACTCTTACAGTACCAAAGCAGTAATTCCAATCTGTGAGGGAGCTACGGTGACTCAGTGAGTAGGGCACTGGCTCACTAAGCATAAGATTCGGAACGAAGGGTCAGGCAGGAAAACGCATCTTGTTCAGTGGTTCTTAACCCTTTTATGTTTTCGTACCCCTTGAGCTTTCATAATATTTCCCTGTACCCCCTATCTAAAATGACTTATGGAAATAAATGAAATTTTATTTATACAATGAGTTGCATACATACAAATATACAGAATAAATAATCTTTCAAGTACAAACATACTAACACAGAACACCAACAATCAGGCATATTACTTATCTATACAGTATTGAATTTGACAACATATCTCGTAACCCCTGCTTTGATGTTTCGTACTCCCGGTTAAGAACCACTGATCTAGTCGTGCAGATGTTTCCCATGTACACGTTGACGTATATGCTCCTCTTTATTGGCCAGGTTTGTGCAAAAATATAGGACTTTAAACTCCATTTCATTTCCATTATGTGATGAATTTTACAGTTTTAGCTACATAGCAAAATGAAATAATACATTCTGAAAGATATTACAGGATGTTTTATTTTTATAAGTTGTCGAGATTGTTGTCGACGCAGTGTCATTTTTTACACTATGTCTAACGTAGGAGAACATAATAAAATTTCAAACTTAGAGGTATTAGGAACACTGTGTGGTCTATTCTCCCCAAAAACTCCCATGTTCCCATAGTTTTATCAGAAATAAACGGCTGGTATGCTCACTTTTAGGGAAAACTAGCGCAAACAAGACATACGAACAATCTTAAATATTATTTATAGCTTAATGGAATGTTTCCAATTGTTGTTTAATAGCCGGGTTGGTTTTGAGTATTGCTGTATAAAAGCTGTCAAATCTGGGAGATAATTCGTGCCTCTTCCAGTTGACTTCGTCAGTAATCCTGCGATCAATAAGTGGGTGTGTGGCAGCCCGTAAATGAGCAATATATTTTTATATACAATTAGATTCTAGTAAAAATTGCACCCTACGAGCCTTTATGCATAATAAAAACGGTGTTGTTGAAGAGTATATTGTAAACTATATTCATTGTACATATGAGTTTATAGACCATAAAGTTCAAAGTAAATCTATTTATTCGTACATGTGTGAAAGTTGTAAAGTGGCATACTTCAGTTCTACTTTGATTTTGATAATATAATATCAACTGAAGGCAGAAGACCCTTGAATTTGTCGCTCTTGAAATAAAACGAGCTCTCTGGTTTAAGTGCGGCATGGCGATGCCGGGGGTAAACTATTAAATGATATTAAGGTTACGTTACACTATTTCGTAAACATTTTAACGAAATTTCTTTTAAAAAATCAAACATATTCTTTGAATAACGGAAATATTTCTTACTCCTACTCCGTGACTTTTGCTTATGTTAACATTGATTTACAATTCACATATCTATCAATCAACATCTGAATATACATCACATTAAAGACAATATATAGTGACCCACCAATCAGCATATTGAGAGGGACATATGCTTGCTAGATGGATTTAAACGTCTGCTTCCACGATAGTGATATCACTGGGGCCTGTTAAACGTTGGGTGCTTTTATCTAGCATAATTAATTCATTTATGGTTCATATCATTAAACAGAATTGGTAACTTATCCGACAGTAACACATTTAATATTTAATTTTAAATGTCAATTGATTTAACTGGTTCTAGGGAATAAGATTAAGTAGGCCTGCTAGCCCCTATATTAAAAGAGATGTTATTTTTCTAATACCATAGATTTTTCACATCATCTAGATAAAATTATAGTACGCATGTTTATATACATCAGACAAGATAAAAGAAGATCAGAGAATGTTCTTTCTTTTGAACACTGAATAGATTTGTGCATTTGATAATATGCATTATACGCACAGAGAGATAGCTGGTTGATATTGAAAGGGCATAGAATCCCACAAAGAAGTTTTAACATTAAAATGTCATAATTTCTGGAAATACATATTATTGTCCTCGCCGATGTTCGCTAATCTTTCCGTCCTTATGAAAATGGCTGAAAACACTGTTCTATGTGTATTATCACAAGGGATAATATTCTATTTCGTCGCGATATTGTATCTATCGAGAGTTAGATATACGCCAGAGCTTCATTTTTGTAGCTTGTGTCATTCTGTTAAGGAGTTTATGACAGAATGTCTAGAATATTGTTGAGATTATTTCAATGACATATTAAAGTGATAATTGGAACTTTTTGAATGGAATAAAACATCCTTAATCACTCTGGTGTTATAGTAAAATGATTGTAATTTAAGAAAGTTCACGAAAACCGTTATAATGCAATCATCCCTATAATCTGAACTGTAATCTAATGTCTATTCTTATCTGTTTTTCAGATCATACAAAAAAATATGCAGCTGCGATGTCGCTGCCATGGTGTTTCTGGTTCTTGTGCGGTTAAAACATGTTTCCGAAGTCTACCAAGCTTCTATCACGTGGGCTTAGATTTGAAGGACAAGTATGAAAATTCTGTGAGATTAGCCAGACGTTCTCGAAAGAAGTTGCGCAGAAAAGACAAATCCAAAAGAAAAAGCGCCATTACGAGTGAGGAGTTGGTGTATGTTCACCGTTCACCCAACTACTGCAAAGAAGACGTTAAACGCGGCATATTCGGCACAAGAGGACGGGTGTGCAATAGGACCTCCCCAACGGAGGAAAGTTGTGATCTATTATGTTGTGGTCGGGGATATAATACTCAGGTAGTGAAATATGTCGAAAGATGCCACTGTAAGTTCTTCTGGTGTTGCTACGTCAAATGTAAAACGTGTGAAACAATGATGGATATTCATACGTGCAAATGATCGGAAGAACTGCTTACAAGTATGTGCTCTACGGTGTAAACACCACAGCAAGGTGATTCGAGAAAAAATTCAAATGTTTTTGTGATCAAGTTATATAATAAGTTATTTGCAGAACGCTATCAAAACGAGGAGGACACAGAAATAAGCAAGGATTTACGTTGAGATAGACGGGCGAATTTTGATGTGCTTAACTCAACTTCAATAAAGATAGTAATTGACATTTCTTTCAGTTAATTAAGAAAATGTATTATATATTGAATTAGACGCACATCGTTGGTCAGACAAAACGTTATTGCAAGGGATATTAACAGCAGCATGCAAGAAACTAATGGGGGGTCCGCCTTAATATCTCAGATTCTAGAAGCATTAGAGTTTGACCTACACAATAACGAAGTACAGGGCCAATTAGGATAATGTGTGCTTTTATCAGTCAATTTATTATATACATAAATATATACTAGATTTACCTTTATTTATTAACATTAACGTCGACTGATAAAGATCCGCATATCTCTATTTTATTGACACTATTGGACCTTTTTATTGGTACCATATAAATTGAATACTCGTGGCTATATTATTAAAGTACACTCACCGTTTTAATGGAAAAGGAGTACATATACTGCCGTGTAGCCTTTGACGATAATAATTATGATTAAATATTATTAGTTTTATGAAAATATTTCATACACGTTGTCTTGTTTTAGAAAGTATATAGTATTATCATATATTTAATACGCGATTTATTGCAAGTAATGTGATGAAATGATATGCCATAATAAATTATAATTTCAAATTATCTGTTCAAGGCAGATTTTTGCCCCTCCAACTACATTGTATTTAGTTTTATGTTCATTTAAGGCGAATCACGGGTAAGGACGTTGCACTCTTGGCCAACCAAGTGCTTCACTTATAATTGAGCACTCTTCCAAATTACTGTCTGTCGCCAAACTACGCCTATCTACTCTTTTTATTGCCCCTAATTAATGGAATTGCTGAAGTAGTAAGAGAAATTATACCCGGCCTAGTTTAGGACACCCGTAAACAGTTTGGCAGCGATAGTGTCATTGGTTGTAGAAAGAGTAAGAATAAGCTTGCCTATAACCCTTAATCATTATTCATTTCATATATACCTGTATAGAAGTGAAGTATAAATTAATATAACCTACCATAAGTAAAATAGATATATATAAAATATCTGCCGCGATCTGTATATTATAACCATGAAGTAGTTGTTATATGTTTTTAAAGTATGAGTGTATTTAATGAATGTGTATTTTGAAACAATTAATGTATATATAGTGCTAGTAACTGTTTATAAATATTGGAGTAGGCCTATCTATATTGGTTTTGTATATAATTAACGTACCGGCATATTTCTATTTGTAGTCTTCTTATATATGTATTGCAAAAGACGAATCGTTAATATGAACTTTCTTGTCGTTATCATCAAACTATATTCCAGAAAACTCGACGTTTCTACCTGGGATTATACATGTACTTAATTAAAACTTGTTATTTTATAGTATCTCAATTATATTAATCTGTTTTAAAGGGACACTATTACTGTTAAAAAACCTTTTCATTTTGGCGAGATTTAAATATATTGGGACATATTTGAAGTGTATTGTGTGCAAACTTGTGTGCCAATGTCCAGCAAAAAAACCCCCCGCAACTAGTATATAGATACTGCTATTGTATTCAGTTCTTAAATGGTCATATTGTGGAGTTTTCCTTGCTCCATGGGTATTTTCAATTATTACTATTTCCCCTAGAAAGTGATATTGCCTCCTTAACAGAGCATATAACATATTGTACAGCATGAATAATCCCGATGGACAATATCTGCTTTGAATATAAATATTATAAAACAAATCATGCCACATATAAACGTAGATTTTTTGGACATGTTGCCTTTTATATTAGTAAATTCAAAGGTACATCGGATTCTTTTTGTACCGTGCATAGTGACATTAATGTATATAGCGGCAATACTCAAAGTTAAGATATATATTAACTTAACAGCAATTAACACATTGAATTCGATTTAATGACATTTTCTTATGAATGTACTCGTATAGTTTATTGTGTTTTATGTCATATCTGTTGTCTCTAAGTTTGTCATGAGAACATTATACGAAATAAATTCATAAATAGAGGTAACTGTGTTTTTTTAATGGAACCTCTAATGTATTTTCTGAACACCCCGATATATCACAAATGTTATAATTTTGAGTGTCTCTAAAGCCAAAGGAGGCGATAGTTGAGCAGTAGGACACGAGCTAGACTATTATTTATGGAGTTATTGCCCAAGCGTAGGGAACATTGTAAATGTGCTATTTCGTATGAGCGAAAGAACCGTCTCAGCTCGTTTTCATGATAATTTATGTAGCACTGGTCCTTTCCCCCAAAACCTTGGAATCATGTCCCAATGGATCGTTTCTTAAACAGGTCTTATTTATTTGTGATTAACTTGATTTAAAAATTGCTAGATTTCATCCTTCAATTACGTCTGTCACTTGATTTCCCCTAAATACCAGCTAGTCTGTGCGCTCGTCCGTCTGTCCAGTTTTATTTCCAGTGCCGGGAAATGTTTGCTGTGAAATCTAATCTGGAAGCCATCAGTGGAAATCAGGGCCGGATTAAGCTTGCAATGGGTCCCTTGGCTGAAAATGTCACCGGGGTCAACAGTGAAAAACAGGCGTATTCTTCTAGTCATTGTCCTGAAATACGATATTATGGTTGATAAATAGATTAATTTTGTTTGGTACAACATAATAAATCAAATTATAAATTATTTTCTAGGACTAATTTGGGGGTCTCTTTAACATTGGGGCCCCTGGTTACAGCTCAGTCAGCACCCCGCTTAATCCGGGCCTGGTGCCAAACTCTTACAAATGTCTGGGCAGGATGTTCTAATGTTAACAAGTACAGTTACTAAATATACTTATGCCTGCTTTCAGGGGCGGACTGTACCTTGCACCGCGAGACTTGATCAGGTATAGTGATCAAGCTAGTTTCGCTTTCTCGTCATGTCACGTTTTTTTCACCACGATGGGGGTCCAAAGGAAACCTAGGCCCAGAACTACCCAGCGCGCCCCTAACAATTTAAATACGGGACTAAACGCGAAATTGTGATAATAAATGGTTGCAAACTGTGAACTTTTGTAAAAATCGAAACCGAAATCAGAGAAAATTGGATACCACCCTCAAAAAGTCGATCACCAGCAGCGTTAACTGGTTTCCTGTCCCACTAAGGATTAAAGCCAACAAACAAGGAGGATTGAGCGATGGTTCATGTACGTACATTAGTATCGCTGGATCTATTTTGGACAGGGGAAGAGCTGCAGGAAAAGGGGTCACAATGTTGTCAATAGGGCAATGCGAATTATGATGACGTTGGCGCGAGCATTTCCAGGAGCATTTGAGGTAACTTTTTCGAATTCAGGACACTTTGTCAGAAATTAGGTCACCTTTTCGTAAGGTAGGGCCCATAACTACACCCACTAGTGGATTCGGGAGTTATCAACCATTTCCGGTTTCTTTTGTTTTTGCATTCAATAGGACAGCGTAGGCGGTAAGAGTGGCCCTATCGATGTAACAACCAGGACTGAATGGGGGCCCAGAGAATGACCTTCATATTTTCAAATCGAAATTATAATCTTTCGGTCACCTACTGGCTGTGTTGATCTTGCACTCAACCCAACATGGAAGGGGGGGGGGGTATTTGTCCAACTTTGCTCACTACTTACACCTTACTATGGCAATGGGTTGGACAGGCGACAATACAAGGGAGATAAATCCTAATGCGCAGACTACAATGGGTTGAAGATGCCAACTTTATTTCTTTTAATTTGATCTTTCATGTAATTTACTCACTGTGTGTCGTAACGCCAAATTATATTAACCAATTGATAAACGTTTTTATTAGTGCAGATTATTATAGACTACTGATAGTTTCAGTAATAATCACAATCTCAACTGTTGGGGCATAGTAAAGGGAGATAAGTCTAACATTCCTCGCACGGAAGCACACCGACGATCATATTGTTCACGCCGTGCTGTTCATTAATACTTTCGAACTCAGAGACTCTCCCAATCTGTCTTAAAAAGATTTTATTTGAAAATAGTCGAATAAAGAAGAAATAGGGATAATTTCGTCCTAACGTCCATAATTTGTATTATTAACTGAGGTTTTGTAATCTAATTGAACCCGATTTTGTCGTTCTGCTACTTAGATTAGGCTATTTTCATCTTCTAAAGGAGGGTAAATCATTAATTTCAATGTTGTTTTCCCGAAAAAGAGGTATTATTCTCGTCAAAGTGGAACCCAGGTCACACCAACGAGTGCCTTTCTATAATTTATCGACGTTTTATTTTATGATGATGAAAAATGCCTACAATTTTTTCCGAAGCAGGGAGAGGAATATTAATGATGGTTGGTGCTTCACGTACCGGTAAAGAGTTGTAAGAATGAGAAAAGAGCAGATTCCAAGAAGATGTCACATAGTTGTCAAGCTCGTTCAAAGAGCGAGCGAAGGCCTGTCAACAGATGCCTGTAGTCCTCACATTTCTCTTAGTTCGTTTCTGACCCGAGGGATACGTTTTCCACCTAGTTGGTTCTTTTGCTTCTAGTCATAGTGCGACCCGAGGCACAATTTTTCTTTACCATTATTAATGAAGAGGATAATATGAAGCTTATTATTGGCGGGAAACATATTAAATGCCAGTTCCGTCTCCTGCGGGTTCTCCAAGAGTTGATATATACTCTAAAACGCGCGAGACTGACAGACTCATTTAAAAACAGAGTGCCAAACCACACGAATAATTCTTCGTCTGATACCATTCCCTCCTTTTCAACCCAAGCGAAGTTTTTAATACCAACATCTGGGGTCTCTGGGGTACCTCTATAATAACTTTAACTTGAAGATTGACAAACCGTGTGATTCAATGTAAGAGTAAAATGGAGAAGATTCATTATTGGGTCTCGCAGAGTGACATAGGTGAATGTATGACACTTCATTCTGTAAATAAATGTTATCCCGAACCGCGCTTTATCTTGTCGATGACTTTAACGAAATGAAATGGGGTTTAACGTCTTAGTGTTCTGCTCCTAAACTGGGCTAATGAAGACGGGGATACGTCATACACCATAGAGTGTACTATGAGGATAATTTTGCCCAGGCAGCGGCACTATGGCCTACTCTTATATCGAATTCAGTGCACGCTAATGTATACACGGGACCTCGATTTTTCGTCGCATCCGTGTCAGCTGTCCGTGTCAGGCCCTCAGAGCTACACTACTGACAAGGGGAAACCAGGTCGGAAAACCCCGATGAACTTTCTCGGCCAATGCAGGGATCGAACAGGTGACCTCCATCCAGCGAGCCAGCTTCTTATCCACTTAGCCACCGCGAGTCCCGACTTTAACGAACTACCCTCGAAATTACTTATTATAATATATACACGTAATATACTTTTTATATATCTAAATTAAATATTTTAGAAAGCTAAATAATTACCAAAGTTTCAAAATATCGGTGATATTAGGAATTTGATACAAAAAAAAATAAATAAATAAAAATAAAAACTACAACATATTTTTGGACAATGAACCGGGTGCTCAGCGCTACTCATATTGTTGTTCGTCTTCTGTTGTGGTCGACGTTCTTCGATAAAAGCTTAAGTACGACCGACACGAAACAAAGAATGCTTGTAATTCTTGGACAAAGACTTCGTTTGACGGACTTCGACGTGACAATTCCATGCTCGGTTCCTGCTATAGTACGCGCGTAATTGTTTTGGTTACGATGCATCGTGTAAGATACGTTGATTTACCACAACAAATTGCAACCATTATCATTACATGACCACCAGTACTATGTCTTCCTGTTTGTGTACATGGATTAGTCAGTGTTTTTACGTACAGATCTGCTCTCTGTAAACACATTACCCAAATATAGTCATACACAGTACTATTTTTGATTGATGATAAGTCAAAGGCAATGACGTATATATGAATTGTGGGCTTCCAATGATTGATTTATGATAAGCTTATTAATGATTGTTATGATCTAGTCGTGGGCATGGTTGTCACTCGTTGACAAGCATTTCCTGTCAGTTGCTTCCCGAAGAAACTTGACCTTAAAGGACAATTCTGGTGTCAGCCATTATTACATTATTGACAGAACTGGTTAAACACATTCCAAATATAATTCTAACATGGAGATCATTGCTACGGAAGATGTGTAACACACACTTGAAGAAACGGGAAATGACGACAAAAATGACAAACACTAGTTATCCTTCTATATAAAATAAAATTCGACCGTGTGTCTGTTATCGCTCGTTACTTCAGTCAGTTATATAGAAGGATAACCCGTGTTTGTCATTTTTGTCCTCACTTCCCGTTTCTTCAAGTGTTTGTTACACATCTATCGTAGCAATGATCTCTATGTTAAAATTATATTTGGAATGTGTTTAATCAGCTCTGTGACATATGGTAATAATGGCTGACACCAATATTGTCCTTTAATCGCCAATTCTTCCGGATCTGAACAGGTTTCGCTTTTATGAGTTAGGTATGAAGGCCATGTGAGGAAATTGCAAAATTTTATAAACAACAATTCCGTTATTATCATTAGGCCAAAATAAAAAAATACATGTGTTTACCGTCAGCCGAAATCGCTGACCTAAACTTTTTTTTTCTTTCCCGAGGCCCTATAACTCGGTCTTGTGATTTTCTGCGGAAAAATTTCAATACTGACATTTCGGTGTTATTTTTAAGAACCATACTCAGTTACTCAGTAATTAAGCTCGAAATGCCAGAAAATTGATAATACAAACCCCACGAAAATAAAAAAAATAATACAAAGATTTTCCGCCCGACCGATCCGATTTTTTTGGTATGGGTGTTTTGGACTTACCCTTTTGTTGGTTGTTGAAATGTTAGTAGATCTAAAGACAAATTCCAGAAACTGATCTAGAATTGGTTCCTATGGATGGTCTGAAGTTCATATCGTGAATAGATGGTTTTTATAGTCGACCACAAACACCAGCATGTATGAAAGGTAATACAGACTTTAGGCGAGGCAATGTCACCGTCTTCATTAAAATGTCATTTATCTTAGACGTGAAACCTGGTATTTTAGTGTAAAGT